CACCCAGGGAACTCCGACTCCGTTCCCGCAGGGCCCATGGCTCCTGGTTTTTATGCCAACCTGCGCTCTCGTTTACGAGGTCAGTCTGTGTAATTAGTGTATTTCTGCTCAGGCACCTGGGAGCCACTGTGCCCTTTGACCACTAAGACCTTAAGAGCAAACCCACCTGTAAGAAAGGAACTAGTTTCACTGTTTCATTCGGCTACACAGGTTGGATCAAATTCCTCTTAGAAGCCAGGCCCTACAGGAACTGGAGTTTTGGGGCCCTGTGCTTTGTGGCAGACTAACAGTTCTTGTTTGGAGATATATATATATTTTTTACATGTAATAGTGCTTTCCATCAGCTGTATATTGCTGCTGATGTTGGTAATGGGGTGTATTAAAGGCAAAATGAAAGTGTGAGCCTTGCATTCTTTCATCTCTGACATTAAACAGAATCTGCAAAATATCCCTTGCATATTGCCCCCATGACGTCTAATAGCCTCTCATTTTTTAAACATCTGTACAAACTTATTTTGAACACACCGGATTTGATCAAGCTGGCCAACCTTTTAAAATGGTCAAGGGCTTCAATGAGACATTCTGTCCACACTCTGGCCAGAAAGCAGATTGCTCTGCTGTGCACAGACCGGTGGGCGTCTGGAACAAGCAGCCCATCCCCACTGCTGAGGCAAACACTGAGATGCTTCCAACGTCTGATCCGTTAGCTACTGTGTCATCCAACAAGCCACCACCTCAAACTGTAACCATGTTCTGCAATTCGTAGTAAAACCTGGGAGTGGATCAGACTGCTGTGCACACTGGGCATCTGACAGCACTGTAAAACCGGGATTAACTCAGACTGCTGCGCACTGGGAGTTGGATTGGATGTCGTTTACTCCAGTGAGCTTCAAACAAGCAAATAAGTTGGTTCAGAAAGGAATTTAAATTTTTTATTGAAAATATTCCTTGTTTTTCTTTAAAAAAAAAATAATAATTTACAAGTCCCACATAGAAGGTGGTCGATAAAAACAAGAACCGGGAACTGTCGAGGCGAGAGCAGTAAGGTGCAGGCGAATCTGTGACAGTGATCCCCTTGTGCTCGGCTCCGAGCAGACAGCAGCGAAGTGGACAAGGGCAAGGTAGAACAGTCCTGCCGCACAGAGAGACCAAATTTCTCTGTGACAAAGGCCTGTGTCGCCCCCTGTCGAATAGTGGACATGACGCAGGACACAGGAGCCACTGAGCGCTTTCAGGCCCGGACACCGACTTCACCCATCAATCAGGTCCACCCATTAAGCAATTAAAGGGCGCTGGCCAGGGAGAACTCTGGGACGCAGAGTCTGAGGCAGAGCTCTCGCACCTAGGGCCAGACACCAGGGGTCACCCTGCCTGACTCTAAACACAAATCTCCCGCACTGAAGACAAAGCTAAATCATGCAAACCGCACACGGAAAAGGTCACCGCGGGAAAGTTCTGAGTCAAACACGCATCGGAGTGCACACCTCTGACTGAACAGCAGCTCCACTTTGTCACCGTTGAGACGAGCGACGCCCCGAGCATGCTGGGAAACGGACAGGCCTGCCTCCCTCTCTGGACCGGGTCGGTGCCGCTCCCTCACTACCCGCCCTCTCCACGATCCCCCCTGCGCTCGAGCTCCCCTGCGCCCCCCTCGGCGTGCGGACACAAGCGTGTAACTGCCGACACCGTTAGCGAGATTTACAGTACAGCCTGTCGCACCTTCACCTTGCACCGAAACCGCTCCGGCTAGCCCAGAACGTGCACTTGTAAAATATATTCCACCCTCTAAGATGAGCTGGAGCCAGGTTCCCCTTATATTCCATATAATTCAACATTGAGAAAGGCAAAAAAACATTTTTTGTAACAGTTTTCTAAATGTCAGCAATCACAGCTCAATCACTTTCAAACGGGGAACTATAATCCATCATCTGCTGGAATTAGTACTACAAAACCAAAGAAGCTTCATCGGCAGCGATTACATGTGCTGATTGGACAATCAGAATAAAAGGGGGTGGTCTTTATGGCACCAGTTGTAGGAGGAGCCTCGGCTGATTGGTGCACTCCCATGTTGTGGGTGTGTCCGCCCACCTGCTGTGCATAGTCTGTGGGAGGGGTTTCAGCTAACAAGCAGCCAGTGCGTGTTCGGGTGATTGGGCGATTGTCAGTGTGGCCTCAGCTGATTGGTTCAGTGTCCGTACAGGGAGGAAGGGGAGAGGGTGTGGTCTCAGTTGATTGGCGCGTAACCTGGAGCCTGGTTCCTGTGGCCCAGGCACACGTAGAGCCCGCCCAACAGCAGCAACAGCAGCGGCATGCCCAGAGCCACCGCCATGATGACCTGGACGAGGACAGAGAAGGAGTCCTGCGGAGGGGAGCCCAGACCCAACAGCACCGTCCTGGGAACAGAGAGAGAGGGAAGGGGTGGGGGGGGGAACGAGATTTTGGTCAAAAGATTTGGAATCACCGGTTCTGGGACACAGATGTGCTCGTCCTGCACGGCGCCTGCAGGGGGCGCCCTGCCAGGAGAGGGGGAGGGGGGACTCTCACCAGCTCAGGTAGCGGGTGGCGTTGTAGAAGGGGTCCCCCGTGATGCCGAAGGACACATTGAGAGCGACGGCCTGGTACCCCGGGCTGGGCTGATCCCCAAAAAACGCCCGCACCAGCCCCGAATCAGGGGGGATGGGGAGGTCAAGCAGGGCGGAATGACGGACGGGCGTGGCGTCCTCGAAAACTGGGGCCCGGGAGCGATACGCGACCGGCTTCCACTGGGCGAAGCTCAGAACCGGAGCTCTGGCGTTGGCCGGCATGGTCACCCACTGAGACACCTGGAGGGGTCAAGGGGTCAGAGGTCAATCGAAGAACGAGAGGAAAAAGTGTAGGCTGATTGGGAGGGGGGTGGGGGGGGAACGAGACTGACGAGAGAGATTCAAGTACAGACGACGCACCAGAGAGAGGGTCAAAAAGAAAGAAGGGAGGCCAGAGACCGAGGGTCAGGGGGCCGCACCTGGAAGATGGAAGGGGTGTTCTCGTCGTCGATGGAGCGCAGCGTGTCCACTCGGCTCTGGCGGCCTCGGCCCGTGACGGCGACCATCTCCAAGGCGAAGCGGGACTGGTTGGCCCTCTCGGTGACGTTGGAGACCACCAGCCGCAGCTGGGAGGAGTTGGCGCTGTGCAGGAGGCGGGGCCAGGCCGCATCCCGCCCCCAGGCCTCAAACGCAGAGATCTGGGGAGGAAGGTGGGAATCCACTTGGAATGGGGGGGACCCCATGGCACACTGCTGTCACACGCACGCGACGTTCTGCGGTTTCAGCTGAGGTCTCTTAATTCAGGGAGGCCCAGTTACTGTGTTTTAGAAAAGCTGCTAGATCTGGAATCTCCAGCTGTTGGGTTTCTGGGCTATGATCCTCCCATGACACCACGCAGGGGAGAGCCAGGTTTTCCGACTGCCCCACCCCCTGGACTGCGGCTCTCCGGGAGCAGGAGTGGATCAGACAGCTGTCTGAATCACCCCACCGCCGGTCTGGAACGTACACAGGTCCCATCCGGCCAAACAGCTCTGACCACCATTATAACAGCAAGACACAAAGACTACATTTCAGGCCCTACTCTACATGGCGATATTTCCCATGATGCAATATTTTTGGCCTGCTTTATTTCCCTACTAAATGGATGGACGGGCAGGCGGATGGACGCCCCCGGCACCGGCGACGCTCCGCCAGCAGGGGGCGGCGCGGTTACCTCCAGGCAGACGGAGCCGTTGGCGAAGGCGCCCGCTGGGTCGGAGGAGTTGCGGCCGCAGAGCTGGCCGCGGAGGGTGGCGAGGTTCAGGGTGCGGTTGAGGTCGTCCCAGGCGAAGTCGGCCAGGTCGTAGGCGGGGAAGAAACTGGAGGAGGGGACCCGGGAGGGGTCGGCCGTGTCGTTGTCATCGCTGTACTCCCAGATCTGAGGGGGGCAGGAGCAGACATGAGAGACAACAGCTTCGTTAAAGAGCTGCAGAATAGGCTGGACTCCGCTTGCACACAACTTTTTACATCTCCTGTTATATACTCCATTTGCACAGGGGTAATTATATGCATGCAAAAGTTTGCTTTTCATAGCCATTAACTACACTTAAAACCTGGAGTGGATCAGACTGCTGTGCACTGGGAGTCTGACTGACAGCACTGTAA